GTCAAATGATCATGTTTGATTTCTTAAATGGCTTTTCATAAATTGCTCGATTGTCATTTCCGTCTCTACCTTAGGATGTAGTGACAAGATGGGCCCATCAAAACGGCTTTTATGTTGAGCGGCGCTTCGGATGGGACACACATGGTCTTCCTGTGGTAAGACTTTTTTAGAAAGGTTGCTAAACGGTTTCAATTCCAGGAAATGCAGTAAGTATTGAATAGTTTTTAAATTCAATTTCAGGAATATGAAGTGGACAAGACGTTAGGTGTGAAAGGTCCTAGTGATATTTATGCTATGGGAATTGACAAATACAATGCGGAATGCAGGAAGCATTGTTATGAGATATGCTCACGTGAGTTCGCCCTGATCTTTCTTGCTCCTTTTCCTCGCTAGTCTTTTCATTCTTGCCATAACTCTACGACTTGGAGGATTTTTGTGTTCATGTACTGTCCTGTTCGTACTGCGTTTATGGCGGGTGGTGTAGTCACAAGTAGCGCTTCATCCACGCGCACCACCGGGGATCGAATCCTGGATATTACGCTCAGGTCAATTGCCTTCCATTTCTCCGGGTCGTTTCGCTGGTTCTAGACTTGTCTGGGAAATAAGGAGTAGTGGAAGGGCACATCTCACCAAAAACGTCCGTGGCGCACACCAGAAGGTTTTGATCAACGCAATTGTTTCACTTTTTCATCCTTTCATTTTTTGTGAGCAATAGTTTGCTTTGCAGGAGTGGGAGGTAACGGTAGCTCGAATGGGGCGCTGGATCGATTTTCGCAATGACTACAAAACCCTTTATCCGTGGTTCATGGAAAGTGTTTGGTGGGCATTCAGTGAACTCGTCAAGAAAGGCCTCGTCTACAGAGGAGTCAAGGTGCGATTGATACTCAATCAGGAAATTGCTTATGGTGATACTTATGTTGAAAATCGCTGTTTTCTCTTAGGTTATGCCATTCTCAACATCTTGTAACACTCCACTCTCGAATTTTGAGGCTGGACAAAATTACAAGGATGTTGTTGATCCCGCTGGTGAGTTATACCTTTGGAGCGGCCCTCGTATCGCATTTCTCACAGCTTATTTTCGTGAACTCCATTTCTATGGCCCGCTCCACTTTTGTCTTTGTCGCCGTGTACTTTTACATCCCTGCCTTTCCCATCCGTTGCAATCGAATTTCCGCCTGAATGAACAATCCACCACCGTTATGCATGGTGGCGTGACAACAACTACCGTGGAACAAATTTGCTAAAAGTAAAAAATCTTGCCCTTATGTGTGCATCGCTCTAAAAAGAACTAAAACGTTATTGTGAGGTATTCCGAACCTCCCAAATAAGTCAAATCGTTTAAATAAAAAAATGTCAATATAAACACAGACACAATTTTTTTTGCTCAAAAAAGATCCAAAAGCCCAAGTATCCGAAAAAAAAACTCCAAAATATTCCAAAACCAAAAAATTCAGAAAGAATTTTGACACGGCTGGTGCGATCTAGTGTATTAAATCACTTCCGTCAGCATGTGTTGCTCAGCCAAATTCAAGCTGCCCATACGATTACGCCGTTGTATGGATATTGAGTTCTACTTTAGTCTTTTTCATAATGCTTTTGTAATGGCATTTCTTTTGATCTCATATTCATTAGAATTTTATTCTTTTACAGTTTTTTTTGTAATCCCTTATTTAGATCCAACAAATGGACTGGAATACGTTGTGTTGGAGGAACGCCTGTTTGAGTTGAAAAATGATAACTTAGAGGTTTTAGAAAAGGTCAGCTTTTTACCGAAATCGTTAATGAATAGTTTTTGAATATTACTTCTTGTGCAGGTCAAAGGTCGCTCTTTCGAGGGAAAAACATACGAGCCATTGTTCCCATATTTCACATACATGAAGGCCGAAATGAATGCATTCCGTGTTCTTTGCAACACGTTTGTCACCACTGATCAGGGTACTGGTATTGTGCATCAAGCTCCATATTTTGGAGAGGTGAGTGCCTCTTCTCTAAAACTTAGGATCTATACTACAAAAGGTTTCTTTTGCATATCCTAGGGGAGTGAAAGTTTTCATTTTGTACACGATTTCGTTCTAGAAGGAGAAAATTGAGGTTTCGACTGCTCAGTATTTTTAGGTTGATTACCAAAACTGTCTCGAAAATGGAATAATAACAAAGGACATGAAGATTATATGCCCTGTGGATGAAAGTGGCCGGTGGGAAATTTTCAACTGTTGTTTTGTTATTATGGTCATCAAATCATTTCATCAATTTGAGGTTTACTGACGAAGTGAGCGATTTCGCAGGGATGTATGTGAAAGATGCTGATAAACCGATTTGCAAAAGGTTGAAGGAGAGCGGGAATCTAATCAAGCAAGGAGAGGTACTGCATTTGCTATCGTGACACTTTGAGTGCTTGAGATGACACTAGGAGTTGAGTCTTTCAGGTGAAGCACTCTTATCCCTTCTGCTGGCGATCGGACACTCCGCTGTTATATAAAGCTGTTCCATCGTGGTTTATTCGTGTAGAACAAATTGTGCCTAAACTTCTCGCTAATAATGAACAGACCTACTGGTGAGGTTCTCCTGGCCAGTTTTCACTAGGGCCGTAATCAATCGACTAGTCATGGGTCTCCAGGAGGGATCATATTGTTCAGCCGTGTGCATTGTTTATATTTAGGGTTCCAAATTTTGTAAAGGAGAAACGATTTGCGAACTGGTTACGTGATGCGCGAGATTGGGCTGTATCTCGTAATCGTTTCTGGGGAACTCCAATCAATTTGTGGGTCAGCGACGATTTGGAGGAAATCGTGTGTCCGTCGAGTATTGCTGAACTTGAGCGGCTCACTGGAACTAAAATTACTGATATCCATCGAGAGAGGTACTGTTATATGGATTTCTCACCTTTTTTTATTCACTGCCTTTGATTTCAGTGTCGACCACCTCACTATCCCTTCCAAGACTGGTCGGGGAGTTCTTAAACGAGTTAGCGAGGTGAAGTCTTGTTACTGCACTGATATTATTTCCTGCATTAGGTTGATGTCGACTGAAATAAGTTGTGAAATTTGTGTTATCTTCCTTATATACGTACTTCTGTCAGGTTTTCGACTGCTGGTTTGAGTCTGGTTCCATGCCGTATGCTCAAAACCATTACCCCTTCGAAAACAAGAAGATTTTCGAAGACAATTTCCCTGCTGACTTCATTGCTGAGGGCATTGATCAAACAAGGGGATGGTTCTACACGCTTCTTGTACTCTCCACGGCGCTCTTCAACAAGCCTCCTTTCAAGGTTTCTTTCTAGTTTGAATTGGTGATGATAGTGGCAGTGGAATTGGGTATTTACAGAATCTCATTTGCAACGGACTTGTTCTTGCTTCTGATGGCAACAAAATGTC